TTATAAGAAAACCAGAAGCCCTTTTTAACCAAAAATTGCATCATTCCATAGAGTGCACACCATATTAACAAACCATTAGAAAAAAAATGAAAAAATAAAATAAAAACAGTGTGAAACAGTAAGGCAAAAGTGCACTTGAATGACATTTTGGATTCAGCAAATTTTCAAAATTTTCAGCGTTTTTGGAAATGGCCTTATCAGAGGAAATTCCAATGCTCCAAATGAGACCAAATTTGGTACACAACAACCTTGAAGTAAGACAAAAACAGGCAAAAAAAAAACAACCAAAAAAACATAAAATTTCACCCTCGGCTGTTGCAGCCTTTGCGGCTTCTGCACGTGCTGCTGCTTTTGCAGCCTTCTTCGAGGGCGAAAGCGGAGGCCGCCCTCTCTTCTTTTTTGGTGGTGCATCCCCCTCCGCAATCTTCCTCTTCCGTTTGTGAACCGGCTGTCCTTCAGCAACGTCTGGTGCTGTTGCCTTCTTCTTGCGTCGCCCACGACCCGATATTGCCTCCCTCCCCTCCACCCAATGGCCGGTTTGACGCGCCTTCAAGGCACGGTCACGGCCCTCCAAGGTGTACACGAACGTGGGATCGGGCTCTTCAACACCGGACTTCCTGCGCAACTCCCTCACTCGGTGTTTCCCGGGCTTCGTGTTGGCATGCCATGTTCTCTCCAGCGCACCGAGTGCGGCAATGTCGTCCTCGTCATCTGCAAAGTTATCCTCGTCGTTGTTGTGCAGCCATGTGCGCTCTAGCGGGGCATCGTCGGATTCGTCTACGCAGACCTCCGCTGCAGTAGCATCGTCGGTTGTCCATTCCCTGACCTGTGCGGCCCATTGGTCGTACCACTCATCCACTTCCACTGTCGCCAGCTGGTCCTTCCATGGAATGTGGATATCTTCCCCGTCCCCTCGCTCTCTCTGCGTCGCCAATTGGATATTCCAATTGTTGTACACCAGCTTGCTCAATCTCTCCGACATGATCTTCGTGCGGCGTTGGCCGTAAATGAGCTGGTGCAAGCTCCAGTTTCGCTCGCACGCAGTTGACAAGCTCGCCTGCCCAAGGAGTTTGATAGCCTGCGGTTGGAGGAGGTCCAGGGACCCCCCGAACGCCTCCCACCATAGCGCCGGAGTCTTCGTACTCGCCTGATCCCTTGCATTCTGTGTCCCCAAAGTGCCCAATCCCTGCACCCATATGTCCACCTGTCTGCTGATATCGTTCTGCAGCAACTCCGGCAGCGCCCAAGAGTAAAGCCAGATGTTGAACCCCTCGCGAATCTCCGTGCCTCGCAAGGTGTGCGTCATGGGGTCGAGGAAGGCAGCTGCGCAATGCAGCTCCGATGTCATGAAGGCCCACCGGTCCATCAGAATATTCTCCACATCCGCCTTCTCAGCCTCCGACAGGCACTCCAAGGTGCGCATTTTCGCCACAACAGCGTCCATGCCAAAGTAAGCTTTGCTCATAGTTGCTCCGGGACCGTCCACCAAACGAAGGAGCTTGACAACTGGCTCCATCACCGCCATGGCCTTATCGACATCCTTCCAAAATCCCTTCGTGTCCATGATGATGTGGGTGACGGCGTTGAATGCCGCCACCTGCTCCCCCTCTCACCAACTTCTCCACCCACGCCGCGTTGCAGACTCAGAGCTCCAACGGATTCCTCCCCGTCTTCAGCGACTGAAGCATCTCAAAGTTAGTCGCAAATCTTGTGGCCGCCGGACGCTTGAGTTGCGCATTCGCAATCCTGTTGTACATCGCATGAACCTTGTCGACGTTGGTGAAGAACTTGCCAACTTGATTGCCCTTGTCGACGACCGCTTTCATCCAGTCCATGCACTTGTACATGTCCTCCAGGGCCAGATCCAAGGCATGCGCTGTGCAGCCCACACTAAAAATATCAGGGTACTTGGCCTCCACCATCTTCCCCGCTTTAGCGCAAACCCTCGCATTGTCCATCACAACACCGACAATGGACCCTGCACCGATCTCCTGGATCACCCCGTCCAGCAAGTTGAAGTACGCTTTCGAATCCTTCTCCCTCCCCTCCATGCAGGCGGACTTCCAAAACACCGTTCCGACTGGGGAAGACACCATGACGTTCAGATGCGGTTTGTTCCTCCAGTCCAACCACCCGTCCATCTAGACCTCTTGACTAGCGACTGCGTGTCTTCCCCCACCAACCTAAACTGCCCATCCAACCTTTTCGTCCTCATCTCGTCCATCTTGCAAGGCCACCAACTAGGATGACACTTCTTCACAGCATCGAGGAAATCAAGGAAGTAGTAGTTCTCCACCAGGCTGGATGGCTGATTCGTGCAAATCAGAAACCGATCCATCTTCCGACTCGTCCGCTCGTTATGGGTGATGATACTGTCCGCCTCCTTGATCAAAGTTTGTCTCACCGACCGTCCACCACTTCCAGGGGGAGGAGGGAAGCATGTCCCAGATGCTGCAGGCGAGGGCGTCTCACCATCACTTGGCCTTGGTGATGACGGAGGCACGAAACTGCGGGAAGACGGTCCTGTTATCCGACCACTACTCCCACCAGTTGCACCTAGGAGCTGACTGGCCTGGTGCTTCCCCAGCCGGATGCCCTCGACTCTCATCACCCTCTCCTCCGCTGTCAATGCCCGAGTGACAAGATCAATGCTGCACTTCTTCAAGACCGACTTGTTGCCCACGAACCGAGTCTCGCAATAGTTGCATAGCCAGTGCCTCAACCCCTTGCTGGGGTCCTTGCCGTGAGGACCTTCATCAGTGAAGTGCCTCACAAGCGACTGGTAGATCTGCTTCGCCAGCGCCATCGAAAGCTTCACCTGCGCACACACGATCCACAAACAGACCAGGCGTCAGCCCCTCTTCAACACTTTTCAACGGAGAGAGAGAGAGAGAGAGAGAGAGAGAGAGAGAGAGAGATCCTTTGAGGCTTCTGTTGAAGGCCGCTGCACAAGGATGACACGCTTCAATCGAGATATGGACCGTA